TAGGGAAGCCCCCTCCTTGCTCCCTCCTAGTGTCTGGGCCACCAGCAGTTCTTGGTGACCTTTGGCCTGGACACACACCCACCCAGTGTTGGCCTCTGCCTTCCCCAGCCTTCTCCCTCTGTGTCCAGATATCCCCACCCAGGGTCAGCGGGCTACGGTCATCCAGTGTGGTCCCCTAAAGCTCGATTGTATCTACCAAAAGTCTGTCTCCAAACGAGGGCAGGAGGTGAAGGTGTCTTTGGGGGACACATTCCGTCTAGAAGCGATGCAGCCACCTTCAAGGGGAATCTGACTTTCGGTGAAAGGAATGTCCAGGAACTTGCAGGCCACAGGGGACCCACATCCCGGGCCAGCCAGGGACCATCGCCCAGAGAGGGCACCGGTGTGAGCTGGTACAACCAGCCTGCAGCACCGGGGGACAGGCACTCGGCCTGGTCAGGGGTGTCCAGGTGCAGGGCCAGTGACGCCTGCCCAGCGAACAGGACCAACCAGGCCTCTGCAGCCCTGCAGGTCCCATCATGTCCAGTATTCCAGCAGGACCATGGCCTCTAAGCGGGAGGCTCCGCGTCTGGATCTGGGAGCTCTGTTCTGGGCCACGTGACCCGACTGCCATTCTCTTGTCAGATTTCAGGAAGGAAAACAAGCCAACGCCTCCCTCCCCACCGTCCTCTGGGCTAACACGGAGTTTGAGCGCAGCCTTGGATCCAGGCAAGGCGACACCCCCAGCCGTGCTGCCCCCCACCGTCCTGAGAGGACCCACAGGTTCAGGCAGGAGCAAGAGCCCGGCGGCATGGACAGCCGGTCCCCCCTGAAGGGCACACCCGGCTGAGGCTTCCAGTCCAGCCTCGCACACCCTGGGGATGGAACCCGTGTGCAACGGAGGAGCACAGTGGGCAGGGGCTTCCTGCAGCCGACCCCGCTCCTGGCCGTCAGACGGGCCATCGGCTGAGTTCCATCGTGGGCTTTCCATTATCCAGATAAGGCCAATCTCCATCCGGAAGGCCCTGTCCCTCATGTCCATTTTCTTCCTGATTCCTGGCTCCTGAAACTTCACTTCTCCTGGCAGCTACTTGGGCCGGACATGCTGATCTTTCTGCCTAGGGAGGAGAGAGAGAGAGAGAGAGAGACAGAGAGAGAGACAGAGAGAGAGAGGACAGAGAGAGAGGAGGGAGAGAGACAGAGAGAGAGAGGACAGAGAGAGAGGAGGGAGAGAGACAGAGAGAAAGACAGAGAGAGAGAGAAGAGGGAGAGAGAGAGAGACAGAGAGAGAAGAGGGAGAGAGAGAGATAGAGAGAGAGGAAGGAGAGAGAGAGGGACAGAGAGAGACAGAGACACAGAGAGAGACAGATAGAGAGACAGAGAGAGATAGAGACAGAGAGAGGAGGGAGAGAGAGAGA